AAATAATGATGCTCATCACATAATTATTTATCCTAGGTAGGAATCAAACCCACGACCTCCAGCTTAGCAGTCAGGGTCACTAACCACTAGACCAATAGTCCAGATAATATTATTTGAGTTATTACCGCGTAAAAGCGTAAGAAACATACAAATAAAAAAACAGTGGCACTCTGGCAGTGCCGACAGACTCAGAAGTGAAAACTTTTATTAAATATACAGAGGTGTCGGTAACGGTAACAGGGGCGCGAGTTCAATTGTTTTTACGCATCTCAAAAAATTCCCAACTCGTGCAAGAAAGTTTTCACTTCAAAAAATCTGTAATCTACCTTTCTACTAAAAATCAGTCATAGAGTATGAACGATCGTATGTTCCGCATTATCATTTTTCCGCCAAAATCCACAGTAAACCCTTATTTATCTCATTTCTTTCCAAACACTCCGAACACGGTACAGAAATATAAAAAAGAAATCCATATCACCCTTTTCACCCCACAATAATTCTAATAAATAATCAGCTAATCTTTTATTTATCACAAAATAGGATTACGTTGGTACAAACCACATTCACGAATCTATTAAAGGCCTTCGTGCACGTGCGAGCTAAACTGAGTCGCGTGCTTTCAATTACTTATCAGCCTTTAGGAAAACATCAATTGATAAACCATTTTAGCTCAATTTATTGGTATTTGACGTTGTCGTGATGGATTGTTTTGGACGTTTATTTTTCCAAGCAATTGCCAGCCAACAGTAGAACTATCTTCGCTGTATTTGAGATTAGTTTAAGCATCTACAAGAGATAGAAAAACCGATTATTCTGCTGTTTTAACAAAAGCTTTCGTTAGTTTTTTGAATTGAAAACTTCTTTAAGCGCGTTGGGCATTTTTGAACAACAAACAAAATAATGTATTTTTTTTAAATGGACAAAAAAACTGTTACCGTTACCGACACCTCTGTATATATACATATATTGGCCCGATACACGCGAGTTGAGTTTGGATTGAAATACATTGATAATATAACTTTTTATAGTATAAAAATATATTGTATATATACGTACAACATAGACATAGTATATATACTCGTATTCGTGTCGGAACTTTTCCTGTTATAATAAAAAAAAGAAAAGCAAGTTTTCACTCGGCACTCAGGGAATGCCACTGTTTGCCGCCCATGGTCATCTGTAACTCACGAGTCACAAGTGCTTCGCCGCCCTTAGAGTCCCCCTCCTCTCAGAATCAGCCTCCCCCCTCAGTTTGGGCTCAGGTAACTCCAATCACTCGGGAAAAGTGACGAAAGAATTGCCTGTTTTGTAATGCCTATAATTGGTGTCTTGTGAGCCCCTAGACTCTGGTCGAGTCGACTGATATGTGCCGAAGTATAATTCTCCCATGGTTTATATTTTATTTTAAGTTATTTCATTTTTATAAAAGATTTACTCAAGTGTGTTATTCCGAGACGCTCAACTGGTTTCGCACTCGACGGGGGACCTATATCAAGTGATCAAGGAACCTTTCACTTCATTAGATATTATGCACTTGCCCCGGCGCTTCTTCCGATCCTTGATCTCAAACTAGATCTTTTTTTGTTTTTGTTTTTTTTTTTATAAAAGACAACTCCCGCACTAGGAATAAATCCTGTGTCGCGGGGGGCTTTACAAACATACATGAAAGGACACAAAGTACACCCAGACTTAGAACAACAATTTGTAGATCACACAAAGTGTCGTCCCATGTGGGATTTGAACCCATAACACTCGGCGCAATAGGAAGCGGCGTGGTGACCGCTTAAACCACTACGTCATCCATGCAGATCTTTAGTTTGGTTCTTTCAGCGGCATCACTTTAATGGCATATATGCATGTCAAACTACTATGTATAGAAAGTAGTTACGCGAATCCATGTCTGGCGAATATGACAAATTAAACAATGAACATAGCTGAAAATTTCATCGTAAAAATATGCAATTGGGGCATCTAAACCCGCGAAATTTCACACGTATCGTATAATAGTAAATACGCGTCCGTTTATCAATTAATTTCTCTCCCGTAACTTAGTCTTTACACATCTTTCCAAAATGGCTTTTACACGGACAGTGCGTTTGAAACAAATCACCATCGCCCGGAGCATCGATTCATCAATCTCCGCAGCAGCCCGACCCGTCACTGACATCTTATTACGTGTAAACACCGACAAATGGCCCTGGGAACATTTCAACTGTCCTATCCCTTATATAGCTAGCTAGCCTTAAAGGCTTAGTTTCTTTTTCTTGTAATAAAAAAAACAGTTAAAAAAAAATGAAAACAGTTAACTTGACCTAATTGATGTCGAAACTTATCTGTAGTTGTTTTTTTAGGACATATTAGGCAAACTAGCACACGGGTCACCTGATAGTAAGTGACTACCGTCGCCCCTGAACACTTGCAACTTAAGAGTCACAAGTGCGATACCGCACTTTCTGTTCTCCCTCCAGAATTGGGGGGAGAGGGAATGTTTAGGCTCCGGTAACCCACTTACTCGATGAATATGTAAGAACTGCTCAGCACTTGCTTTCCGTGAGGCCGTGGTATCACTCCAGTCGAGCCTGGCCCATGTGTGATGAAGCATGACTTCCCAAATTTGTATATATTCCACATTTAAAAACCATTATTCCCAAACACTTAGGAGTTTTACACTATATTCTGGACCCTTATTAATGCCGTGGGTCTCATAAGAGCCTGCTGAGCAAATTAAGCAGGACAACAGCATTGCAAAGAGAAGGAAAACTTGAAACAATTCCAATACCAACCAGTCTGGCCAGCATGGTATAGTAAGCCGAAACCTTATTTCTAAGGAGAGGCCTACATCCAATAGTGGACTATTACTCGTAAAAGCAGTCGATGATGATGAAGACGAAATTATGGATTGTAGAATATTTTGAGTTCAAATATTGAACCGGGGTTAACCACCGCTGTAAGTCAACTGTGCTGTTGTACAGTCAAGTTATATCAGTTACTTACTCGTCCTTAAATTAATAATAAGAAAATAGAAGAATTATTTTTTCTATAAAATCATACTCAAGAAAATTGTTAAACAACTTATTGTAACCTTTAGTAACACATTGAAAGTGTTACCATGAATCAATTATGTACCCATTATGTTATTAAATCTTTTTGTTTGAAAACTCAACTCAAATTACTACTACTGGCTAATAGTAACTGCTTACGCTAAAAAAATGCACTAGAACTGAAAAATAGGTCCTTTTACTTTCTTCTCTCTCTCTCTGAACAGTAAAAAATAACGCAAAAAGTACTCAGTTTTAGCTGACGAATCACTTTTAGTGCAGGAGAGAAGACAAACGATCTGTCAGTGAACCGGGCCTTTGAAAACACATTTTTTATTTATTTATTATCGTCTGGACACAATCTGTAATCTTATAAATGATTTTTTAATAACAAAGAGCCTGATTATTAATGTTTGAATTTTTATAATAACAGACAATGGTGTATTTTAATGAAATTAAATATTTTCTAATGGTGAACAAATTAAAAGCCAAAAATGCCCAAAAAAAAACCCACTAAATAGTCATAAAACTATGTATGGTTTGCATATTACCTAATATGTTAAGACAATCCTTTCTACCCCTATTTTAAATAATTATGGCGTAAATAACAACACAAAAATAATAAAAACTGAAATAAATAACAAATCTTAATATTTTAAACCACTTTTAATGGAGACTGCTAAATCTTTTATTTTATTTTAACTAAACTACCTATTATTCTTTTTTATCTCTTTTTATAAATCTATATTAACATTTAATGCCAATTCCTAACTAATCGAAGCATTTCTTAAAATTTTCTCATTAACGCGCCAACCAAAATAAATGGAACAGATTTTCATTGAGAGCGAACAAATGGCCAAAAAATGGCTAAAATCTGACAAATGGTTTTCCTTTAACGTCTGCGCCCATCTTATTATCGTTACCCACTACCGAACAGAACTCATTTGAGTCTTCTTATAACTTGTCTATATATTCCCACCCACTCAAAAGTAAACTTTATTCTCCAACACTTATGTTCAATTTTACTTGTTCACGTTCTCCTATATTAGCTTTGATTATAGCTATCGGATTAAAGATTTTATTACTCTCACGTTTAAGCTCAATTTTCTTTGTAGCGCCTTTAAGTATGATATCAATTTGAGGAGAAGCGTCTGTGTTAATAGCATTATTCGCAATCTCATCTATACAGTCGGGGGTTAGGCCGAGTATATGAAGTATCATTTTTTATGCGACATATAAAACATATTTATTGCAATCATAATCGTTACAGTTTCTCTAGTGCCATGTTTGAGTGAGATAAATAGAGGATAATGGTTGGAAACAAACTTCTTTTATTGATTAACTTAGTTATTTTTACAACTTACGTTGTTATTATCAGATCATTAAAAATGTTTGCTCTTAAAAATATTTTATTACACAATTCGTCAGTAAAAATGTAGTTTGGTCTATTCTATTGTTAAGAATTTCTATTCATTCGTTTGTTACCTTAATAAAACAAAGGTCATTGCTTACAAAATCTATCGTAAGATGATAAAAGCAATAATTTTGCCGACCGTACTCAGTGAATGGCAAAATAAACCACAGTTTTCAATATCACACCGCTATTGTCAAGCTGACCCTACCACAACTCAATGCGCTCTCAATTCACAGCAGTTATTATTATCTTGACCTGGTGATTGAGCTCTCCTGCTCTCTATCGTCGTGAAATTCTCTCATTGGCCACCCCATTCCTTTGACGCCCTCCGCCCCAACCTTATTGGTGGATCACGCCACGCCTTCACAACTTGAAACGCTCTGCTTTGGGTAGTTCGAAACCCCACTTATATATTTTTCACCCTTATGTTACTCGCATTCGTATTGTAGCCGTCGGGTTGTACGCACGCGTCTTCTCCATATCACCGCGATATAAGTGTGAAAACTTTTAAGTTCGTGTGCTGTTAATTAAATGTATAAACAATGACAATGGACGTTCAAAATAACTATCAAAATTATAAAGAGACGTCTCCTGATTGTAAGGAAACTAATTTGAATATTGAAAGTGCAAGAACTTCGCAAATAAAATCAGAAATGCAACCAACAGTTTTGAATCAAGCAAAGACATCGAAACGATCTTTTGATGTAGCTTTTCTGATGATGCCTGATGAGAAAGTACGTTCGAAGCCTCCAGAACGACAACTTAGAGTCTCCAAACAACTGTTCCATAATGAAGAATGGGAACAAGTGCCACCTAAGAGAATGCCAGAGATTTATAAGCATAGTGATTACTCAAACGAGAACACGATGGACTTGAAAGACCATGATGATGACCGCATATGTGTAAACAATAACATATCTCCAACCTTTGGATCTGATATAAATATAGATGTTGGGACAGATGAATATCCCAGCAAAACCATGTACTGTAGCGATTCCGAAAACTCTGAGCGATCTAGGAGTCGGCCAAATTCTAATGAAAGTGCAGCGCGACAGCCGAAGTTTTTACCAGAATATAAGAATAAAATATTCGACGACCCCACTCTGATAAGCATGCAGTCAAGAGCCCGCTATGAAAGGTATTCGGAGAAATCTGATATGTCTCCTAAAAGTGCTTTTACGAAAGTGTCCAATTTTGCAACAAGGTCACCAAACCCATCCGTCAGTCCAGACAATTTACTTTATCAAAACTCTGTGAGCCCACCGCTGTCAGCCGCTAGTCCACCGACAACTTCTTTTAACAAATCACCTGGTTTTAACTCCCTGCTTACTCCAGCGCACATTTTGAACAGCAGCAACTTCTTCAAGGGTCAAAATGTACCATCATCATCACCGAATTACCCAGACTCGGCAATGCAGCAACGACCAGCCGCCTTCAATAAAGGTATGGTATACCAAGATAAACCAGATAAGGCGGTACATATATCGCCAAACAAAATAAATTTCTTACCGTTCAGACCAGAAATACCGTATCTCCAAGCTGGATCATCGTATCCGTTTAGTGTACAGAATTTTCAGCCACCAAATTCAGATTTCATGAAGTTTCCTGTGCCTTCAAGGGACCCACCAGTAAATCCTTTGATCGCAAATCCAGCGGCAGCCCTCCTTAGCACTTTATTACCACCCACTCTAGCTGCGTTTACTTTACCGTCGCAGAATGTTTGTGCAAAGTGCAGCATCAGCTTCCGTATGACGTCTGACTTAGTATACCATATGCGCACACACCACAAGAGTGAGTCTGCTGTCGATCCACATAGAAGAAAAAGGGAAGAAAAGTTAAAGTGCCCAGTTTGCAACGAAAGTTTTCGAGAACGTCACCATTTAACTAGACACATGACCGCGCATCAGGACAAGGAAGGCGATTTAGACGAAGTTCCCGTTTCATCAAATTATAATAAGAAAAACAAACAACTTTATTCGCATAATGGTAGTTCTCTTTTACACAAATAAATTCAATCATCAAAAAAGTACCAATATACGAGTCATAAAGCTAAGGGAAGTATTTAGTAAAATAGGTCCATTTTAAAATACACCTATATGGGATTCAAAGTCAGTTAACTGGCAAACTATTTGATCAAATGTAATGAAATTAGTACGATTATTGAATAGGAACATGTGTCATGTTTAAAGCTGCGTCAAGTATAATTGTTTCGATAAAATTTGTTATTGTTATCACCTAATGTGCAATATTAATTGTTAAGTATTTATTTTGTAAATAGTAGTATTGGTAGTGAAGCATTAATTACAAAGATTTAAAATTTAAATGTGATTTCATTTCCTATAATTTCATATTTTAACTACGAGTTTAATACCACAAAATATTATTCCTGTAAAACGTCTCAAAAGCCTTCGTTTCCAATATATATTCGTAATGCTCTACTAAAAGCAATCCACTTTATAGCTATAATTATAACAATTACTTCACTTCTATACCCCACACGATATGACAATATCTAATACATAAATTTGCTGTTTCGAATCGCTAACAAGGCGAAGCATGGCGAATTTATGCGTGAGGGTTACCGATAGAGACGTCCGGGAACCCCTGTTCTGATTTGATTTAAAATATTGTTTATATTTATGCTATCTAAACAGTTTTTGTCAAAGAAGGAATAATAAGTCTTTTTTTATTTAACCCTTTTACTTCAACCTGTAACGTTAGCGATTGACCTGGTTCAAGTAAAGGTGATTGAAAATATGGACGTATACAAACCTTAACATTACTTCCAGTTAATGTAATTTTAAGTCTATCAACGTTATGGTTTGAAAATTAATTGTACTTAGCTATTTAACTTACAATTTTTACTACATTTCCCAAATTATACTTGAATATGAATCGAATCGAAAATGATTCGTTACTTACTTACTATATTATTCGTTATTTTACTAAAATACTATGTTCTCTTGCCTGTGTCTACAATACTAAATATTCAAAGTTTACTTCATCTAGTACAGGTAATATGCCAATATAATACAAAACGAGCATATTTTTGGAATTAAAGGTACCTTTATCAACCACAGTGTCATCACCCCTATTCATCCCATGGGTGTCGTAAGAGACGACTAAGGATGCAAACTACGTAGGACAACAGCACTGCAAAGAGAATTATTAAGTATTGTGTGTGGGTGTGTATTTATTAAGTATTGATAAATTTATTGAGAGCATACCAAGTGGTGGTAGGAAAAAAGATAATTATTTATTGATTTATTCACATTTCTGGAACACACAAATTGGAAAGGTTCTATTAAGATTAGGATTAGGGAGAGCCCCGCCTCATCAACTCCCCAATGTACAATATGTTTTCACGATTTGTGTTAAATGTGTTAAATCGTTTCACTCTTTGAAGAAACAAATTCCTAAATTCTTATGTAGTCTACAAGTGTAATCACAGTGTTTGTTTATGCCATAGGGGGCAGATGGCTTGAGCAGACCTTCATAGTGAGTGACTACCGGAACCTTTAGACACATGCTTCTCAAGAGATAGAGCTTTGCAGTCCTTAGAGTAGCCAGGGTATATCTACCATCAGTTTTCTGTGGGGCCGTGGTATCACACCTACGATTATAATTGTCAAAGAAGACCTTAGAGTTATATCTTAATATTTAGAAAATTGACAGATCAGACCTGCCGTCGACCTGCCGTCCTGTATGGCTCTGAAAGTTGGCCCATTAAGAGAACGGATGAGAGACGCCTGAACGTAGCCGAAATGCGAATGCTGAGATGGATGTGTGGTGTGACTCAGATGGACAAGGTTAGGAATGAGTATATACGAGGGAGTCTGAAAGTAGCGCCACTGGATGAAAAGTTAAGAAGTAATAGGTTATCTTGGTATGGACATGCGGAGGGTTGAGGAAAATGTGGCGAAGAAAGTTTTAGGTATGAGAGTTGAAGGGTACAAGAGAAGAGGCAGACCGAAGAAGAGGTGGATGGACTGCGTCAGGGAGGATATGGCTAGGAAGGGAGTAAACAGTGAGATGACGCATGACAGAGTAGAATGGAAAAATCATACATACTGCGCCGACCCCAAATAAAATTGGGAAAAGGGTAGGCAGATGATGATGATTTAGAAAATTGATGTCTTGTTAGCTGACTTTATAATTAAAACCATAATTACACTTCACCTACAAAGTTTGTGATAGAATAATCAATAAATTAATATACCCTACATAAGGGAGCGAGCGTCCCTAAATAGCCGTGTCTAAAGTCTTGCGAACAGTGCTGTTCCCATGTGCCGACAACGTTAACACCGATTTAGGTTATTCTGCATCGATGCTGATACAGCTATAACGAATCGTGTCATGGGAAATGGACGTCAGATTTTTGGTGACTTTATAATATATAATAATAGGGAAGTAAATCTCGAATTAGATGGTTAGGTTAAGCTGTTTATATTTTAATAGACTGTTCAACAACGATTTTCGAAGTGAAAACTTCTTTACGTGTTCTTTAAAACTTCTTCTTTGGGTATTTTTGAACAATATACAGAAGAATGTATTTTTTGAGAAGGGAAAAAACCATTGACCTCGTGACGCTGTTTACGTTACGGACACCTCTGTATAAAAGTATCTGTATATCAATTTAAGTGAAAACTTCAATAAATTCTTTACTAGTTTTGAAACTACTACTATTTTTGAAATGGGAATAAACAATTGAACTCGCGACACTGTTACCGTTAGCGTTGCCATTACCGACACCTCTGTATATAAGTGTATAAGTGTTCACTTCTGTCGGCACTTCCAGAGTGCCACGGTTTTTATTTGTGTTGTTTTACTTACGAGTACAACTCAGGTGAATGTTTAGAACGTAATGTTTGCCAATACAACCTGGTCTAAACGTGAAGAAATTCAAATATAGTATGTAATCGTAGGGTGACCTGATGTTAAGTAACTACCGCCGCCCATGGACATCTGCAACTAAAGAGTCACAAGTGCGTTGACGCCCTTTCGCCTCCCCCTTCCTCAATACAGAAGAAGGTGGGTTTGGGAATCTGGTGACCTCACTCACTTGGTAAAAAGAAGCGCAAGAGTTGCCTAGAGTTGGTTAATACCGGTTTTCTGTGAGACCATATCGCTTCGGTCGAGCCGGCCTATTTGTGAAACAGCTTTACTCTCATACGCCTGCTTTTACTTCAAAATTTTCAACTCCTTTCTTAACCAATTGGAATTTAGACAAATATATCATTTTTAATATTTTATATTCAAGTTCCTAGATAAACAAAAAATACCACAAATTGAAACTTTTAACTTAGTTCTTATACCCACCAGCCAATGTCCCCATAACGGAAGGACAAAATTGTAAAACCAAAACTTAAAATACACCGTACAGTATGTAGCTACGACCTCGTAAATGTAGAAACTTCACAGGGTGTCCGCGTGAGTGCGAAGAGAACAATATTTTTGTCCGTCCGCCGAACCGTGAGTAATTCAATAGAAAATATTCATATTGGGGACGAGCGGCGCCCCTGACGGTGAATGGGTGCGCTTATAGCGTGTGTTTCTTTTAGAATGATGTTTGTTGTCACTTTGAGGAAAAGTTTTTTTTCTATCATATAGGGGGGCAAACAAACAGATGGGTGACCTGATGGTGATTATCATATCATCATAATCAGCCTATCGCAGTCCACTGCTGGACATAGGCCTCTTTCATTGCACGCCACTTCGATCGATTTTGGCCTTCTCGTATTAAGCTCCTGCCAGCCATCCTGCGCAAATTGTCACTCCACCTGGCCTGTGGGTGTCCTCCACGATGGTGATTACCGCCGACCAAAGACACATGCAACTAAAGAGTCACAAATGTGTTGCCGCTATTTCATTTTTCTCCGTAACTTCATTCACTAGTTGAAAAGCAATGACAAAACTGCTTAGCACTGGTTTGATGTGAGGCCGTGGTATCACCTTATATAGTCAGGCTACTCTGTAGACCCCATAGCATCGCGTCCTGTTTTCCTAAAAACTGCACGAAACAAGTGTTTTGAAAATAATCTTGATCTATTACTTCTTATACCATTTCCAAATAACAATGAAGACATTTAGTGGATACTAAACTAAAGATCTATGCTAGCAATCTTAAATTCCTTTTTTTTGAAGTTATAACTTCTTATGGGAGGGTAAACCGCTTCGTTACGTAACGCGTTACGTCGCCAGTCTGTCTGGCTTCCCTTTCTCTCACGCATACGGCAGCGGTAGGCAGGCTCCTCCTCTCTTATTCTGAACCACAGCTCTAGCCGTATTTAGGACAGACGCTTTACATGAAATTTAAGTTATAACCTAAGCTTTTCTCAAGTTAAACAATATCAATATTAAATAGTTCTTCGATTAATTTAAGTTATCACTTCTGTCGGGCGTCGTCCCGAGACGCACACGTTTTTTTTTAAATAATATATGAAACAATATCATTTTAATCTTATAAAACTAGCCACGATTTCAAGAAAGAAAGTATTTTAATTTATTATTTATATTTTTTTATTATTAAAAATATAAGAGTGTAAAATTTCCAACACTCTGTACATATTCGTGTTGGCAGACGCCAATGACGGATGTGTCGCTACATTGGTGGCTGTTGGGGCCCTTTCTGAAGATATAGCGCTTAGTCGACGCTCTCCTTATGATCACCATACTGAGGCCAAGGAATACGAGTATATTGAGACAATTTATTAACAGTTCCTGTAATTAATACCTGTTTTGGTTCGAATGTTAGAGGCTTTTCGAAAGGCTTTAATAAAGGGATGGCTGGTGAATACAGAAATTGTAATTTTGGTTATAGAAAGTGCACAGACTCAAAGACGGTATATTTGAATCTATTTATACTCTATGTAGAGTCCGGAATTTTGTTAAAATGCCCAAATTAATGAATTTGATTGACTAGAGATTATCTAATGGTCGAATTTCAAACATGTGACTACACAACAAGGGACTGTTTAATTTAATCCAATAAAACGACAAAGAAATTGTA